GGCTATAAAGGAGGTTATAGCTAGTAATATTTTAATACTAATAGGAAAAGGTTATTTAGGTAAATAGATATTAAGTTAATAATAATAAGCTTTTCTTTATAATATAGTAATTTTATTCTAATAATATAAAGTAATACTATTAATAATATACTAAAAGCTTTACTTTTTTTTAATATATATACCTTTAAACTCTATCTTAATTATAAGACTTCCTAAGCCTGCAAATCTTATTTCCTTTACTAATACTTCTAGGCTCTATATAGTTTATTTAAGTACTTATAGTAGCTTCTACTATTTCTCTGCCTTAATTCTTGACTTTCCTAATCTAAAGGAAGTGAGATAAAGTAATATTATAAAGAAATACTATATTTTTCTTATAAATATATATATAAAAGGCTTATATTAATAAGAAATAAAAGTAGTATAATATAATAAGTTAAAGATAAGAGAACTCTAATACTATTCGAGTAAGTTAGGACTTAAGAACTAGGATATAGAGGTTAGTAATTAGAAATATTATATATAGTTATAATCTTATATATATAAATAATACGAGGTTAAATATTAAGAGAGTTTAATAGGTTTACTTTAAGGTACTCTAAATTATTTCTTATATAGGGGCCTTTAATATATTACGAGGGTTATAATATATATTATTTATTAAAATAAATAGAGATAAGTTAAGCTATTACTAGTAAATTATATTAAGAAGAAATAGTAATAAAATAGCGAGAATTATTAAGATATATATTACTAATAGCTATAATTATAGTATAAAACCTTGTATTTTGTTTTCTAAAATAATCTATTATATCTAATATTATTAAGGTAATATATTATATTATATCTTGAGGCTAATTAAAGCTCTATTCTAGAAAAATATTTATAATATGCTTTTTTTAGCTTATATTTTAGAAAACCGCTTCTAGAATTAGCTTCTTAGTTTTTACCTATTTAATAATAAGTATATTCCGTTAATGGCTTTAATTTGTATTTATTATTACTAATATATACTTATTAAATTCCAAAAATATTATTTTAAATTTATTTAATTAAAACTTATTATAAGTATTATATAATTCTTATTAATAAAGAAATAATTTTCTTATATAAATATCTTAATATATAATTTTATATTAATATTTCCTTTATTTTCCTTACTTTTTTCTCTTTTATATTAGATATAAATTTATTTATATCTGGAATTAGGAAAACTACTCGTTATTATAAGTATTAGAAAAGGAATTTCTTTTCTTCTAATATTTCAAACTCCCGAAATATTCCCAAAAAAGTAATTACTAACTTCCCCGTTACTTAGGAAATTACTATAAACCTTCTTATACTTGGCTATATAAGGCTATCTTTGCTTCTAGACTCGTACTTACTTATAATATCTCTAATAATTTTCTTAAAGACCTTAATACTACTTCCGGTTATAATAGAGATATAATATATATATACTTTAATTAATCTCCTTAGGTAATTTCGGATAGTCTCATATATGGCTATATAGTAGTAAACTTAAAGGAAAGCTCTAAAGCAAGTTAGTATTATACTTATTATAAGTTAACTTTTATAAGCGGCCTAGTTAATAGTAAGAAAATAGTTATCTAAGCTATAAATATAGGTAGAAATCTGGGCGAAAACTAGTTTAATCTTAGTATATATTTATTTTCTTTTATTTCTCTTATTCTTACTTATAGAATATTTCTTAATATTAAATCAGATTCCTAGTAAAGAAATTAGGCTTAATAATAGCTATACTATTAAATAAGGAGCTTTAAGCTCAGGTTAGGATACCTAATATAATAGTATTTCCTCTTAATTCAATTATAATAGCTTCCTAAAGTTCTTATAAATAGGCTATTATTAGTGCTTTAATTAGTTTATAGGAGCTAATAATCCGAATATATTATTTATATAAATTAAATATCTAGCTATTATTATAGTAAATACTAGCTATATCCGAGCTATTAATAGAAATACTCTAGTAATACTATTAGTTAATAGGAGTTTGAAATATTTATCTATAGCTTAAAAAAGAGAAACCTTTTATTAATTATAAATATACTAGTTTAAGAATTAGAGGCTTTAAAAAAAGATAAATAATATTCGTTCCTATATAGCAAAAAACTAGTATACCGGAAATAACTAATAAGATTATAAGAATTATAAATTTTTCGCTATAATATTCTCTTTAAACTAACTATAACAAAAAAAAATTATATTTAAAGTTAGTAATAGGCTTATTATACGAGTTCTATTTATATAATAACTTGTAAATATTAAAATTTATCTAATTTTCTAGTATACTAGGTTATCTACTATATAGGAACGAATATTATATAATATTATATATATATTTAGTTTTATAATAATAGATAAAGGTAATTCAAATTTAGATTACTAACTTAACTTAGAATTTTCTTCTTTCTTAAGAAGGAAAAGAGTAAGTATTAGGCAGGGAATTAAATTCATTTATATAATATAGGAAAAACCTAAATAATACTTAAATTCTCGGTAAGCTTAGCTATAAAAACCATAAGAAAAGACTAACTAGGTCAGCTACTAAAATTATAATTTGTAAGTTAGGGCTAATACTAATATCTATCTTTAGTAAGGCAAGTATATATTAAAAACTGGAAATTAGTAATTAGAAACTAGAACTGGAATTTGAGATTAGTTTCTTATTTATACTTTCTATTATAGATATTACTAATAGTTAATAGATATAAGTAATAGTAATATATTTTCCTGTAATATCTATTAATTAATTATTACTAAAGTCTATAGATAATTCAAATATATTTAAGATATTATAAAAAGCTATAAAGAAAAATAATTCTTAATCTTAATAAACTAGCCTCCTAATTCCAGAATAAATATACTATATATTTTTCTTACTTAAAAAGTACTAATTTAAATATACTACTTAGTTCCTTTACCTAGCTTTAAGCTTATTTACTAGAACCAGGTATAATAATTACTATTTTATTAATATAGTTCTTGGGATCTTGCTAAATAGTTAATTATTTATAGTTTATCTTTTAGATAACATATTATTTCTATTATATAAGTATGCCTTTATATAATCTATTTTATAAAATATAATATAAAATACCGCCTATTATAAAGTTTCTTTTTTATATACTTAAATAAATACTATTTTATTTCTTTTATAACCCTAAAATAGTACTAGGAGGCTATTAATATAGAGAAGCCTTAATAAATATTCTTATCTTAATAAATATCTATCCTAAACCTAACTTCTAAATAATATTGTTTTTTTCTTCTATATTTAAATCTACTAATAAAATAGGCTAAAGAAGCTATATAATACAGGTATAATAAACGGAAGATATAACTCTTATATTACCTCTCTAGTATTATTTACCGATTTATTCCTGGATACTAATAGAGGTTTATAGAATATAGGTAATACTAATAGAGGAGACATATTAGTATAGGTAGCCGAGCTAGTTACTAAGCCCTTATTGTCTTCTCCTAATAAGACTTCGTATTAGATATTTCGCTATTTATAATAGTCAGGAAGCCTAAGCTATAGGGTCTTATTACTCTTTATTTACTACCGGGTTAGCTATATCTTAATATATATAGTAATATCTAGTAACCTATAATCTACTTAAATAACGGTGGCTATATTAGTGAGTTTACTAACTTAAACATATAATATTCTCCTAAGTTAGGATTATAAAGAGTAATAGCAACCTAATAATTATAGAACTCTACTATCTTATAGGCTTTATAAAAAAGCCTCTCTTTTCTTCTCTATTACTATATATTCCTCTCCTTTACCGTCTTCTTACTCTTTATCTTAAATTATTGCCTTATTCATAGCCGCTCTATTTAATATAGAGAATCCATAATTATTATGGCTAGAAGTAAAAGTTGCTATCCGAGACGCTCTTGCGGGACGAATATGCCGCTCGTATGGTATAAATAAGAAAGGAATGGGAGGCATGATATTCCCAAGCTTGTAACATAATTTTAGAAGCGCCGGGGGAGGGCTATAAAAAGTAATAAAACGTCTCACCGCCACGCTATCTATTAGTAAAATCCCGGCAACGGTGGTCAGAACCAAAGCAGCCAGTTTTTGCGCCATACTTTTGCATCCTCTTCCAGGGGGGCCACATCAGCTGTCACACCTTTTTCCAAGAAGCCAGTTTCTGCGCTACACTTTTGCATCCTCTTTTATTAAGCAGCCAGTTTTTGCTCCACACTTTTGTAACCTCTTCTAAGAAAGCCACATCTGCTACCGCACCCAAACAAAAACGATAAGTTAGAATGTTCGGAACTGAAGCTGATTTCGGACTTTATTATACTCAATATCTCGGTCTATATAAATTGGAATTTGTGGTTGATTATCTAATGCTTTATATTGAAAAGTAATCGATTTATAATGGAAAAATCGATTTATTGAAGGTTGACAGACTGCAGAATGACTAGATACAGAAGAGTGAGTTCTGGAAACAGAGGAAAAGTGTCCAAAGTAAGGGATTTATTCCCATTACCCTTCGGCGATACCGGTGATGCCGAACCCGCTTTCTCCGATACATTATCAATCAGCTGATAAACCAAAGGTAATCAAAATGACGATATACTAGTAAGCTTGGTAAGCTTGGCGAGTGACGCATGACAAATGAGAGTGGAGAACCCTAAATTAGTGGTTGAACCTGGTGCTGGAAGGACTGGTAAGCTAGCTATGGTAGCGTACCAATTTCAACACTTTACAGTCGCTAACAAAATCGGCTCCCCTTAAAACTCATTGTGAATGTTTCAACCCCTGGTTCGCTAGACAGGGATTACAAGCACCTTACCAGAGGAAGCTAGATGAGCTTCGAACTCTGGGCCCGCTTATCTCGCCAATGACGTGTGTGTATTACTAGACAGCTGACTAATGAATGTCTAACTCCTTTAGACATTCGAATAAGGCTGAGCGTCGTGGCAGGCAGCTGATCGTGGCATCAACCATACTCTATAGCAAACCATTTATACGCATAGGACCAGATCACATCACACATTCCTTGAATTTCCATCCTCCCAAACATGGGTCTACGCAAATTCTTCAGGAAGAAGGCTCATAGCACGGACGACGGCGAGGCTGCGACAACCAAAAACACGAATGTCATAGCTGATGAGGCTCCCGACATCCCACTTGGCTTAGATGTGTTGGTCGAAGGAGTCGATCCGGTAGTGGAGTATATCTCGCGGGAAGACTTTCACTCGTTAATAGCTAATTCTCGTCCTGGGATATAGTATCGTCGCAATACACGGCCTCAATGGTCACCGAGAAAAGACCTGGACGGCGGGGAACCAAGTAAACTGGTTACGAGACGCGAACATGCTATCGAGCATTATACCGAATACTAGAATAATGAGCTGGGGCTACGATGCCAATACACACAGCACAAAGGAATTATCGGCGATGTATCTCTATGATCATGTACAGAATCTGGTATCAGATCTAAGCCTTTATAGAAGAAGTGATAAGGTAGGGAATCCGATAAAACTATTGACTCTTAGGCTTCGGGCGGCTAATAACTATAATAGACGAATATACGGCCCATTATTTTCGTTGCCCACAGTCTCGGGGGGATAGTTCTCAAGAGCGTAAGGATTATTTTTCCAACCCTACCTATAAGCCTAACAAGAACAGGCGCTCATACACTCCGACTCCATGCGGTCCGGCCATCTGTATCATTACAGATCTATTAAGACGTCTATATATGGAATCATATTCATGGGTACTTCTTATTAAGGAGGCGAGGGAGTAGCATGGGGCAAGAGACTCGTCGATATAGCCTCGATTTTTGTCAAAACAAACGATAAGCTTCTCAATATTCTTGAAAAAGACTCGGAGATTCTATAGTAGCAGCTTAGTCAGTACAACTCTATTAGCGGTGATTTCGAGACGAAGTTTGCATACGAGGCCAAAGCCACACTACTAGCTTTGGGTAAGGCCATGATCGTCGTTCCAAAGTCCTCTACTGTAGTTCCAGGCCAAGTAGATGCCGAGCCGATTGCTATTATGGATAATCATATTAATATGGTCAAGTTTGCCGGGCAAAGCAACGAATTCAAGAAGGTAGCCAGTTATCTGAAGCTAATAGTGGATAAGGCACCTGCAAAGGTGCAGAAAAACTGGTTGACTGAGAGTGGTATCAAAGCTAGTAAGTGATATACAGATAGTTTAGGTATATTCTCTGGCTATTAAGGTATATATCGTATCAAGGGCTTTTGTATAGTCTACCTCTTTTTATTAAAGAAATAATATTATATTTAAACATGCTAAAAGCTGATTATACCGTAGCTCGGGCTGGCAGTCTCAAACCATCCTTCGATATTGACTTTGATCTAACAGGTGTGCCGAAGGCAAGTGCCTTTATTGGACGCAGGTCAGACTTGGACTCGGTAGAAAGGCAGTTGGCCCCAGGAGAAGTACAGGACCGCCGTAAGATATGTATAATTCATGGGCTGGGGGGCATGGGTAAGACTCAGCTAGCCATTAAATATGCAAGGCTATACAAAGATCTATATATATCCTTCTTTTGGATAGACGGGAAAACAGAGGAGTCCCTGCTTCAGAGCCTGCTACATAGAGCTTTACGTCTTCCTAAGGACCAGATGGCTAATATGAATATACAGAAAATAAGAGGCCTAGAGGAGTCTAGGAAGGCAGTGCAAGAAGTCTTGAAATGGTTTGCTCTCAAGGGTAATACGCAGTGGCTTTTGGCTTTTGACAATATTGACAAGACGTCCTATAAAGAAGAGGCTAATCGGCATACCGGAATGTCATTATATAATATTATATAATACTTCCCAGGAGGCGATACTGGATCTATTATCGTTATAACTCGGCTTCAGCGCCTCGTTTCGCTTAGAAGCCCGGTTTACTTGCAGAAACTTGGCATTATCGACGGTTTGTTACTCCTCGAGAACCATACGAGGCACAGTTTGAGGCTTAGCAATAGACAAGTGACTTCGGAGAATTCATCAGGGATTAAGGATTGGGATCCCGGTTAGCCCCTCACTCTATACTATTTGCCAAAAGTGCAGCGAGAAGTGTAATCCAATACCTCTTTTCTTTTTAGCTAATACCTCTAAGATGCAGTTAATCTTGTCAAACGACTAGGTTATCTCCCGCTAGCTTTAGTCTTCGCTGGCTCCTATACCTCCAAGATAACTATCGTCAAGTATCTCGAGCTATATAGCAAATCATGGTACGAACTCCATAGACAAATGAAGAGGCGGGATAATTATCCTGAGCGGATAATTATCACGATATGGCAAATCTCGTTTAATGAGGTAGAGCGTCGAGATACAAGAGTGGCAAAGCTATTACAACTATGGGGTTATCTGAATAATCAAGAGCTTTGGTATCAATTACTTAAGTGGCCGGGATGGGAGAATAATCGGCCGGACTGGCTACAACAGATCGCAGGTACTGAGATCAGCTTCCTAGCAGCAGTGGGCATTCTTTTGGATTTCTCGCTTGTGGAACAGAATAACAACAGTGATAGCTATTCAATACATGCGGTGGTCCATGATTGGATCCAAGCGTCAGTCAACACAAGGACCGATGATGTCTTTTTACAGACAGCAATAACAACTATTGGCCTTGCGATTCCACAAGAGGAGTCAAGAGACTTTGCAACTATACAACGACGACTTTTACCGCAGGTTGCCCAATTACTACAGTATTGGAAATTTGCAACCGCGACTCCGGACTTTACAGATACTGCTGTATATCTAAGTAGTCTTCACATGTTAGGAGATCTATGTGCAGATCAGGGCAAGCTCGACGAGGCCGAGCAGATGTACCAGCGGGCGCTGCAAGGCTTCGAGAAGGCATGGGGGCCAGAGCACACGTCGACGCTCGCCACAGTTAACAACCTCGGGATCCTCTATAAAACCCAGGGCAAGCTCGACGAGGCCGAGCAGATGTTCTAGCGGGCGTAGCGTAGCTAATCTTTACAGTAGTTATTTGCTTTCGATTTTATAACCTGCTCCTTTATATTTTATATTATTTTAATAACTTTAATAGAGAGGGGCCTGGGGGAGGTGAACTTTATATACTAGTTATTAAATAGCCTAGAACATTCTAGAGCCTTTACTTTTATCCCTCTAACTTAGTACTGTCACACGTTACTTATAACATGATGCGGCACGTGATCTTGCTCGCCGGAGCTACTGCAGGTGGCTCAAGCAGAGGCATTGTGGAAGCTGCTTACTGCTCGCTAAAGACCTTGTAAATATCTAGCCTCTTCTGATAAGGCTCTCAGATATCCCTGTTTAGCGAGCGAGGCTGAATCTTTTACAGTGAGTTTGAGGGGGAAGCCGATTTCGTTAGCGACTGTAAAGCAAAGGAGAAATTCTTAAAAATTTAAAATAATATATAATTATAAAATAAATAATATAATGATTCTTATTAGGAGACCGCGACTTCCTCGAACTTTCTGTTTAAATAAGAGCTCCGGAAATGAGAGCTGCCTCAAAATGGCACTAAATATAACAATGTTATAGTAAAAGGCGAATTGCGTGTCGCTATTTTCTAGTTAACTATTTTAAGTAGGCTCCACTTCCAGATGCTTGTGGCTGTATACCCCTGCCCAGTTGTACTTCAAGTACCACCGCTTATTGTCGGAGCTAGTTTGTCATTGCAGAACGGAGCTAATTCTTGCCCATGAATGGCTAAAGGCAACTTGTGCGTGAGCACGCTCTATTATACGTTGCCATAAGCTTTTTTCACGTAATCTATAGGCAAGATATGCCTCTGGAGTCCTGAATCCTATAGTCCTAGAGTCTTGAATAAAGTCCTGAATGCCTTTAGGCCTTAGGCATGAAAAAGGCACGTATCCAGTTAACTAATCGCTTAGTAATAATCTGGAACTACTAATACGAGACGCGACATCTTTTCTACGCAAAATTACACCAGAAACGCGACCTAATCAACAAAGACCACGAAGACTGTTTCCCTGATCTGCCACGAATACTATTCCCAAATCCTCCAAAAAGGCAACGACTCCAACGAAGTTAGTACGAAGGAACGTGTTATTCGAGAATCCGGATAACTTCATTAATAATGCCAACGAACGTAACTCGTACAGGCATGGTATATGAGATGGAAAACAATAGTATTAAAGTGAGACGACGAATTAAGGATGGCCGGGTACATATTAATCAGCTTATCCTCGCTGCCGGTATAACCCGTTCTAAAATACGGAGAATTTTGAGCATAAGCGGAATTCCTACTATAGGTAGCAAATATGGTGGGACTTGGGTTGAGATTAAGAAAGCTCGAGACATTTGCGAGACATTTGAAGTTGCAGAAGTCTTCCAACCTCTATTCAAATCCGACTTAGGTCAGCTTAAAAGAATAGTGGGCGGGAAGCTGCTCTCAGAAGAGGTATTAGAATCCCAATCCGATTCAGTCGAACTTCACAGAACTCCACTAGCTATCGATATCGACGGACTTATCAAACAAGCCCAAAGCCAGCGTCATTAATTACAGATACCAAGATATGCGAAACTCGACATAGGAACTATTAAACGTAGGTACCAATGTCGGCTATCCACCACTTGTACGGAGCAATTTATGAAAGGAAATCAGCTAAAGGTATGAAATACTTGTATTTTAGGGCACGAAAGCTAATTAATTCTTTAGAGCCACCAAAACGAGACACATAGTCTAATTATTGTATCCTTCTCAGTCAGGCTCAATTTCGGGGACACATTTTCCCTCGATAAAAAAATCAGTCTCTACTACCTTATTCATATTCACTTAAATGGTAAGGATTCTACCTTTTTTATTTTGATTAAAACCTAATAATAAGAGTAGAATGTTACGATTGCGAGCGTATATTCGGTTCCCAAGTAGACTTAAGTCGTCATGTTAATAGGTGCATTATAACTCCCTATTATTCCCGTGCGATTACCCCAAATGCAATAGAAGACAGGACCTATTTAAGCGTAAAGATCACTATAGAGATTACCTTCGCAAGGTCCATAAAGAGGACATGAGGCACTCGCATTGGAGATGTCAGAAGTGTCTCGAACGCAACTATACCCAACCACAAGACTGGAAATCTGAAAGCTGGATTTGTTGCAGCTGTGGGAAATGCATGCGCGGTTGAGAGGGCCCAGAGCCGACGCCTTCCGTCCCAGATACACAGTTGGAAAGCAGAATAGAGGCCACGGCCTGCAATACCGAACTTCGAAAAGAGAACAGAAGGTGACTGGGAGCCTTCCTTTCTTTCCGACGAGGCCATATAAGTAGGGTATCGGGAAGTATACTTTGTTTGACTTTACCTTGGTATATTCGGATATGGTCTTACTGCGTGGCTTCTCTTACATGCCCTTATATGATTGTTTTATCCTACTTTAGCGGAAGGAGGGGTGTGCGGAGGCGGCATTCGGTGGAATACATTAACTTCGCCTTGCTGGAAGATAATAGGGCAGGGTTTAAGGCATGCCTCTCCTTTAGCTCTACGTGACGTTTTGGAACTGCTGTATTGCATACCTGGTATTCGTTGATGGAAATGGTCTTTATAGCTCTTTATATTGGTCACATATGTAATTTATAAAGCACTGCTGAACTTTACTCATTAAACTAAAGCCTTTATTGTGTCTCATCAAATTTTTGCGTCGAAAGAATCTGCAAATAAAGCGAGCTGGTAGATTTCTTCCAGGCTTGTACTAATCGTGACAACAGAGATAGGCCTTGGAACTGTTGCCTATAATCTCGGCTTCGAGTTGGGCCACGTAGACATTGGAAGTTCTTCACGAAAAGGAAGTGCATAAGAGGTTGAAGTTGAAAGCATTACTGAATTCGATTGTTCCTGCCATGGGCTGAAGACAACTCATCTCTAGTTTTTTAGTTAATTATTCATATCGGCTTTGTTAGGGCACACTCATTGTCTATAAAGAATTATGTTATGCAGCATTCAGATGCGGCGCCATGATCACTGACACGAAAGCGCTGAGTCGGCGGAATGGGAAAAAAGAAATAGAGGATTATTGGAGTGATAGAAACCGCCTCTCCTCCGCTCTGGAGTCAGTAGTGGTACCTGAGGTACAACCTGGCAGGGGTGCACAGCCACAAGCGCCTGGAAGTGGACGTCGCTAAAATAATTAACTGAAAAACTCGCAATGCTCAATTCGCCTTCTACTATACCTAAATTACTGAAGTATATAATATAAGTTAATAGTCCAGAACTGGCCATCCGGATTCATATAATAACCTTGCAGCTAATTATGGATATGGACTTCATAAATGGCTTTCGAGAGAATGATTCTATATTTGGCCTAATAGAAGTTATAATAACTTTATACTTATTACTAATTCCATATAGGTAGTACTTCGCAAGCATTAATACTCTCTGTCGGAAGAACTAAGAATATATATATAGATAATAGAATGCACTTAGTAGGCTAGCCAAATATATTAGCCCGGCAAATATAATTATAATATAGAGTATCTAATAGCTATTATTATAAATATTATGTCTTTATAAATACTATCTCTCCGGAATCCTAGTAATATAAATTATTATACTAATTATATTTAGCCCCCCCGTTAATCCTATTTAACTTAAGCTTATTCTATAGTTTTAGAGGACCTAATTATAAAATATAAGGCTATATATAATAAAGCAAATTGCAGAAAGGCCGAGACTAGAGTATATTATAGCCCGATATAGCCGAAAATTTGGATAGTAAAATCTGTAGTAAAGAGTAGTAACCATATAAGTAGAAGCTAGGATTATAGCCATAAGCTAATATAGCTTCTGAAGCTTTAGTTTATAATAAAATCTATAGTAGACAGAAGAAATAATTAATTCCTATATTAAAATTATAATACCTAAGTAGTTAAGGTAATTACTTAATACTATTATTACTAAACTATAATTCGATATAATATAAAAGGAGGCTAAGAAAAGAAAGCAAATAGTAATACTCTAGAAAAATACTAAAAATATAATAATATTACCTAGCTAAGTATTTATATACTAATAGTAAATCTTATTATATATAGGAAATAGAAGAGTTCCGAAAATAACTATACTAAAAAGATAAGTATAAATATTTATAGTTTTGTTATAGATATAATCTAGGCTCTTTAGGGACTAGTAGAAAGATCCAGATATAGGGTAATAACTAGTTAATATAAACTTATTATCTTATTACTAGATAAGTAATTTATATTATAGTAGTAATTAAATATTATTAACTCGGACTTTCTTGTTTCTGGGCTTCTCTAATAGTTTATTACCTTCTATAATTAGTATATTATACTTATGTAATTATATAATTAATTTAGATAATATATTCTTTCTATTTAAGTATATAAGAAAAGCTTAAAAGTTAAAGAGAGAAACCGCTATTAAAGCAAGAGACCGGAATTAGATAAGTACTAAAAATTAATATTATTATTATAGTATTAAGAGAGAAAGTCATATCAAATTCTGACCCTAATTAAGCCAGAATTAGAGCCTTAGTTAAAATTAAGCCGGAAATAGATATAGTATAATTTGCAGGAATTTCCTAGCTAGTTAATTTTAAGGTCTTTATCTATATTAATCTATATACTTGGACTTATAAAGAAATATTATATTAGGTTTATTAATAATGAGTTTTTAAGTATATCTAGTAAAAAGCTAGTAGTAATTCAAATTTGCTTCTGTTTTTATTTATATAGCTCTTTTATCTTCTAAGGCTATTAATATATGGCTATAATTAAGATAGATCCTAACTAATAGAGCCTTTCTAATAACTAGATTACTGAACTAATCTAAGAAATAGGTTATATATTTGGGAAATAAGTAAATATCCTTTCTTAAGGAACTTGAATAGTAAAGCTTCTAGTATAAAGAATTTCTATTATTTATTTATAACGAAATACAAGCTAGTATGAGCTTATATACTAGTACGAGAATTATAGTAGTATAAGAATTATAGATAATATAAAAGCTAATACTAGTATTTTAATAATAGGAGATGCTTCCGTTAAATAATTCTTAATTAAAGAATAGCTCGGATTTTAGCTTTACTAATAATATAAATAACTTACTTATCCTATTATAGTATTTAAATATATTATTTTGAGACTATTTTATTACTAATTTCTATTCCTATATATACTATTCTAACTTTTAATTATTATTCCGAGCCTCTTAAATAATAATCTTTAAGTAATTTACTTTTTCTTTAGCCTAGTATCTTATATTTAATTCTATAGTTACTTGGTTTCTTTATTTATTTAACTTATAAGTAAGTCTTGTTTCTTTTTCTTATAACTTACTAATTTTTATAATAAAGCTTACTTTGGTTTTAGGAGAATACAAATATTATATTTTAGTTAGTTTAAATTCATAATTGAAATATTAATAGTAAATACCTTGCTTTAAATAATTCCTATTTATAATTCATATATTGAATTCTTTCCAACTACTATAAATAATATACTAATTTTCTTATATAATTTTATAAGACTTTTATTTAAGTAATTACTTATATTTTTTAAGAAGAGATACTTTTTCTTTTTTATTTTCTTTTAAATATATAAGTTATTAAGGTTTGGTTTAAGTTATACTTAGGAAGGATTTACTAATATTTCTAGTTTGCTTTCTTGAATTTAATTAGTAAAAGTAATAATTAAATATAGTATTATATCTTATAAATATGGGCTAATAATTTCTCTTAATATTTTCTATTTTATTCCGTATACTTTAAGTTACTTAATTGAGCTATAGCTATTTAATATTTCTTTATTAAATAGTAATGAATTTTATTCTGAATTCTCCTATTTTTATATAAGAGCTAGGAAATGAAATTTTACTAATAGTAGTAAGTGGGCTATAATATATATAACCTAGTAATTTGAGTATATATAATATAATTTATTTATAATACTAGGTTAGAAAGAAAGATACTAGTTTTGGCTAAAGTACCTTTTTATATAGGTTATTATATTTAGTACTTCTTTATTTTAAAGTTATTTTTTAGTACCTAAGGTACTAAAGAGCTTGGAATATCTTTGTTTAAATAACTAGTATAGAATAGATTAAACTAGGAGAGATTTTTATTATTTAGAAATAGTTAGTTAAAATCCGAGATAAAATAAAATAAAATAATATAGACTAATAACTTCTATAAAATAACTCTACTAATTATATAATTCCTCTTATTATTAAAACTTCCCCTAACTTAGGTCTCTGAAAGCTAAAGTAATTAATAATATTCTTTAATTATCTTTAGGCTATTAAATAACTTAGGGCAGATTTATTTATTATTTTTAGATCTATAGCTAGCCTAGTATATCTTATACTTATATTTCTTATTTCTGTTTAAATAAAAGACTTTATAGTCTATTATCTATTCTATCTTATATAATTCTTTATTATCTAGAGAACCTGAATTAGAATAGTCTAATTATTTGCGAAACTTTTCCCTAGTAATAAATATAATTATATTGAGTTTCTAATCTAATATTAAAGACAAGTCTTT